GGGCCCCCCCCCCGCAGCCCCCGACCTCGCAAAGGCTTTTTCCAAACAACTCCTCACCGCCCTCACTGCCACCAGCTCAGTCGCTGCGGTCTTCGCCTTCATCAGCGGTCCGCACTCCACCCCGAACCACGCCAGCTAGCCAGCTAGCTAGCCAGCTAGTTGGGTGGCGAGCTGCCTCGCTAGCTAGCTAGCTGGGTGGCTAGCTGCCTCGCTAGCTAGCTAGGTGGCTCGCGGCCTCGCTATCCAGTTCAGTTGCTAGGCAGTTGCTCGCTAGCTCGATAGATAGTTCGCTGGCTAGCTGGCTAGCCATCTAGCTAGCTAGCTAGCTAGGCATCTAGCTGGCTAGCTTGCTGGGCAGTTAGCGGGTTCAGAGTCACATGCTGCGGGCGGGCCTTGGGGAATGTCTTATCAACCTGGGGAGCTAGCTGGCTAGCTAGCTACGCAGCTAGCTAGCTGGCTAGGTAGCTATGTAGCTAGCTAGCTGGAGCCGAGAGTGTGTAGCTGTGTGGGCAGCTAGCTAGGCCTAGCTAGCCATCTCTGTTGTTTTGTTTTTTTTGTTCTTCTGCAGGCCTTCAAGTCCGCACTCTCTCGCGCCTTTTGTGGGAAACCATGCCGCCCATGCCCGCAGCAGCGTCCAAGCTCTAAACCCTAAACCCTAAACCCTAGTTCAGGGTTTTAGGGTCCCCGCACCGTGCAGGCTACACACCCGCCAATAGAGCGAGCAGGGCCATTCTAAAGGCAATACTGATAATAATAATAATTAATAATAATAATAATAATAATAATATTATTATTATTATTATTGTTATTAATTATTACTATTATTGTTGTTTATAACAATAACAGTAAACCCGAAACAAAAGAAATAATGTAGTGAGGCCTCCAGGGCCCAAACTGGGGGCGGGAAGCCCCACGCATGTTTCTGCATGCAGTTTAAATAATTGAACAAACTTTTTTTTTAATTTGAATTAATTAATTGTTTATTTTGTTTATTTTCGAGTCCTTTTGTTCAATTTAGAACACTTTATTGTAAATAGTTTATCTCCTTTTTCCCTTTTTGTCGAAATTTATAAAATTCGTTTTCATGTGCGCCGTCTTAGCGTAATATTACACTTTTGCAATTTCCATTCGTAATTATACTTTTGTATTTATATTTAATATTTATATTTGTATTTATATTTATATTTATATTTATATTTATATTTATATTTGTAATTGTTTATATTTGAATATGTTGATGTAATGGTGGAGAATGTGCATCTGTGTTGAAAATAAATTTGAAATATCATTTATTTATTTATTTATTTATTTATTTATTTATTTATTTATTTATTTATTTATTTATTTAAAACAAATGCACTTAATAAATACCTGCAGAAGTAAAAGTGGAAATTGTCATTTGTGTTTTTGCAAACACAAAAGGATGAACAAATATAAACACAATACACCTCTGCATGCAAAAAGACATCAACAAAATATAAATATAAATACAAATGAATAAATAAATATAGATATAAATGTGCATATTCTTTAACAAATTGTATTTATGTCTTTTTCATTCTTAAAGGACTTCAATCTTCTTCAAGAAGCCAAAGAAACCCAAGTTGCAGTCAGAGCGATTTCTCCAGAGTCTTCGAGAGCCTTAAGAGCTTCTTCAATTGCTTCGGCTGCGGTGTACGTACACCCGAAACGCATGCAGCAGCAGCAGCAGGAAGTGTGGGGCGCAGTGTGGGGCGCGCTGGGGTGTCTACGCAGCTCTGGGGTGTATCGACAGCTCACGCGAGTGGCCAGACAGCCGCTGCTGCAGCAAATGTCTCTTCATTGTTTTTTCTTCTGCAGCAATTAAAGTCTTCAGCAGCAGCCGCTGCAGCGGCTCCGTGATGTGCTCAAACTGCTCCAAAGAAGTGTCTTCTGCCCAGCAGCAAAGTCCAAATTCAATTCCAACGCGACTTTATTAGCAGCAGCAGCAGCAGCAGCAGCAGCAGCAGCAGCAGCAGCGAGAGCGCAGTGCGCAGCACCACCTCGAAGCAGCAGCACGGACAAAACAAGCAGCAGCAAACGCAGCGAAACAAGCAACAGCAGCAGCGGAACAAGCAGCAGCAGCAGCGGAACAAGCAGCAGCAGCAGCGGAACAAGCAGCAGCAGCAGCAGCACGGGAAAAATAAGCAGCAGCAGACCAAGCAGCAGCAGCAGCAGCAGCAGCAGCAGGGCTGGACCTGGGGCTTCTTGTTTGATTGTGTCTGGGAGTTGGGGCTTGGCGTGGGGTTCTTTTGCTGCTGCTGCTGCTGCTGCTCGAAGTGCAGCAGCAATGACCCGCAGCGGGAAAGCCTCAGCATATTCTCTGGGGTCTTTAATTGCTGCTGCTCTGCTGCAGTCAATATAAACAGCCCCTGTGTCGTCAGTGCATGCATAGCCAAAGACAGCCACGAGGCCCCCGTTCTTCAGCGCAGCAAGCAGCCCCCCGCTGCTGCTGCTGCTGCTGCTGCTGCTGCTGCTGCTGCTGCTGGGGGCGGGGGCGGCTGCTGCTGCTTCTTCCTGCTGCAGCAGCGCGAGGGCCGCCTTGCTGCTGCACTCGACCTCAATTGCTGCTGTGGGGTCTTCGAGTGTAAATCGGAAAAGAGAAGGCCGCACTTCGAGAGCTGTACAGACACCGCACAGCCCCAACATCCCCACGGGGGCCCCGTGCAGCAGCAGGGGGCCCCCCCCTGCCCTTTCTTTGACAGCTTTTCTGAGCATTGCTGCAGTGCAGTAGAGGCAGCCGTCGGGCGTTTGTGCTGCTGCTGCTGCTGCTGCTGCTGCTGCAGCGGGGGGGGCCCCCGTCCGCTGCGAGGGGGGGGCCCCCTGCGAAAACGCCTCCGCCCCAAACCCAAAACCCTCCTCGGGGCCCCCAAACGCAGCAGAGCCGCCCAGGGGGGCCCCCAGGGGGGCCCCCACGCTCTTGCGGGGCTCTGCAGAAAGGTAATCACCGGAGGAGGCGGGAGAGAAAAAGGAGTTTTCGTCGGCGAACATTGCGCGGCCTTGGAGTGTACGTACACCTCAAAGGAGGGGCCTCAAAAAGAGTTTCACGGCGCGGTGAAACGGCGCGTTCAGGTGTACAGACACCCGAGAACGAAGGCAGACGGCGGTGACCCCCGCGGCTTCCAAGGGCATGAAACGAAGCGAAAAAAGCTAGAAGGCCGCGTTTTTGTGTTATATTTGCATTTAATTTTCGATTTAAATAATAATAAAACCGAAATAAAAGACAAAACGCGCAAACAGAGCGGCAACCGCTAGCGGAAGACGTTGGGGGGTGGTTGGTAGGGTTTAGGGTTTAGGGTTTAGGGTTTGGGGCTGGAAAGCTCTTCAAGTTCTCGCATGCGCCATTTTTCGTTAATAAATAATATTTTGTGCATTTTTGCGCCAGTTTATTTCACTGGTAATTTTTTCCAGATTCCGTCGCCTCGCCGCTAGGGTTTAGGGTTTAGGGTTTAGGGTTTAGCGGCCTGTCTCAACCCTTCTACAACGCGCCGCGCGGCTAGCTCGCGGGTGTCCTGGGCAAATTGCCTTCTTCCCTCTCGTGAGAAATATTGAGGGTTTAGGGTTTTGAGATTAGAATTCGGAGATTAGGGTTTAGGGTTTAGGGTTTAGGGTTTGGGTTCGGGTTTTGTCGGAATGGCGACTTCGGCTGAGGCAGTGCGCGCTGCGTACGCTGCAGCAGGCCAGGGCCACGTCTTTCGCTTCTACGACCGGCTGCAGCAGCAGCAGCAGCAGCTGCTGCTGCAGCAAGCAGCAAAACACGACCCTGCGCAGCTGCTGCTGCTGCTCGAAAGCGCTCTGCAGCAGCAGCAGAAAAAAGGGGAGCAGCAAAAGCAAATCCGGCCTCCCTACAAAGTCGATTTGACCCTTCTAAACGAAGTCCTGCAGCAGCAGCAGCAGCAGCAACAGCAGCAGCGGGCTGAAGACCAGCAGCAGCAGCAGCAGCAGCAGCAGCAGCAACAGCTGTTGTCTGCGTATTTGAAGTTGCTGCCAGCAGCAGGCTGCGCTGTTGTGTCTCTAAACGAGTGTCCCCTTTTGCTGCGGAGACACTGGAGAGAGACAGGACTGAAACTCATAGGTGCGCGAGTTCGCACCTGCTGCTGCTGCTGCTGCTGCTGCTGCTGCTGCTGCTGCTGCTGTAGTGTTCGTGTAGCTTCCCTGCTGCTGCTGCTGCTTGAGTAGCATGTGTGCTTTTCCAGCTGCTGTTGCTGCTTTAGGGTTTAGGTCTCAGGGCCCTTGCAGCAACGCACGAACCACAAACCCTAGTCAGCACACCGACAGCAGCAAGCTGTAAGCCCTGGTCAGCAAACCCTAAATCCTAAGCGGCAAACCCTAAACCCAAATTAGCAAACCCTAAACCCTAAACCCTAATCAGCAAACCCTAAACCCTTATTTTTGTTTTAGGTGGTCAACAAAGTCATCAAGAGAAAATCGCCGCAGGAAAGTGTCGGGGTGATCTGCGAGCTGTTCACGGACTTGCCCTCCCTGCAGCAGCAGCAGCAGCAGCAGCAGCAGCAGCAAGAACAGCAGCAGCAGCAGCAGCAGCAGCAACAGCAGCAGCAAGGTCGTTGGGCAGGCGCTATCTTGGAGTACTCGGAGTTGCCTCGGGATATACGGGAAGGATCTGCTGCTGCTGCGGCTGCTGCAGCTCCTGCTGCAGCTCCTGCTGCTGCTGCTGCAGCTCCCGCTGCTGCAGCTCCCGCTGCTGCTGCTGCTGCTGCTGCTGCTGCTGGGGGACCCGAAGCAGGCCCCTACGCGTGGGCAAATGTCTGCATGCATTACCTCAGTCTTGACTTCCTCGAAGCTGTTGCCAAAAATCCCGAAGTCCTAAACTCTCAGTTCCATTTGGCCAAAAAGAAAATCCCCCACCTCGCTCCCCTTCAGGGGGCCCCCTCTGGGGGGCCCCCCGGGGGCCCCCCTGGGGGCCCCCCTGGGGGCCCCCCTGGGGGCTCTTCTGGGGGCCCCCCTGGGGGCTCTTCTGGGGCCCCTGCGGGGGCCCCCAGAGGGTCCACAGGGGGCCCCCCTGGGGGCCCCCTAAAGGGCCCCGCTCAAGAAACTCTTGGGGGCCCCACAGGGGGGCCCCCCTCTTCTTCTAAAGAGGCAAATGAACCAAAAGACGCATCTTGCTGCACAGCCACAGGGGCCCCAGGGGGGCCCCCCGGGGCCCCCGGGGCCCCAGGGGGCCCCCCTGGGGCCCCTGTTGATTTGGAAGACCCGAATTCTTGGGTGTTGGCAAACCCTAAGGAACCGAACGGATGGAAACTCGAGTTGTTTATCTTTGATGCCTTTCCTCTCGCAGACAGAATCCTGGTTAGGGTTTAGGGTTTAGGGTTTAGGGTTTAGGGTTTAGGGGTTGGGGTTTGGGGTTTGGGGTTTGGAGGTGTCGCTGGGGCTTCAAGAGCTTCATCTCAGGAGGGTTTGGCTGCTGGTGCCTGGTGGCTAGTACCAACGGGCCTCGGCTTTAGGGTTTAGGGTTTAGGGTTTAGGGTTTAGGGTTTAGGGTTTAGGGTTTGTATGTGGTTTGCAGTGTTTGGAAGTGGACCGGGACTCGGAATTTGCCCCTGTGAAGTGCGCTGGCTCTCTCGGAGTTGCAAAACCAAACAAATTCAATTTAGAAGCAGCAGCAGCAGCTGCAGCAGACACTCCTGAAGCAGCGCAGCTGCTGCTGCTGCGCCTGCATGCAAAGTGGATAGCAGCAGCGACAGAGCAGCAGCAGCAGCAGCAGCAGCAGCAGCAGCAGCAGGAATTGCTGTGTGAGATTTCGCCCCTTGTTAGCTACGAAGGAGAAGGCCTTGACAAGGACTGCCTCAAAGGCAAAGACCTGACCAAACCCTTGCTGCTGCTGCCAACCGAACGCTAAACCCTAAACCCTAAACCCTAAACCCTAATGCATGCAAAGATATGTGTGCCTGCGGCTGAGCCCGGCCTACGGGTTCCCGTGAGCCCCTCTGGGGGCCCCCTAGAGATATGAAGGGGGCCCCCTTTGGGGGCCCCTATGGGGGCCCCCTTTGGGGGCCCCCATGGGGGCCCCCCAGGAGTTTCTGGGTTTTTTTGAACCCTCATTTGAAACCCTAAACCCTAGAGACTCTGAAGTTAGAGACGGAGGCTCTGCAGGAGTAAAGGCCAGCGTCACGCAAACCCTAAACCCTAAACCCTAAACCCTAGTTTTTGAAGCGCTACTAGTTTCTCTCTCCTGCCTCCAAACTGCGCTAGAGCCTGGTGAAGCTAAAGGCGGCACAACTGCAGCAGGAGCAGCAACAGCAGCAGCAGCAGCAGCAGCAGCAGCAGCAGCAATGCTAATTGAATATTTGAGAAGAAATAAAAATGAAACAAAGACAACCTTCAGAAGTAGCAGTTCAGTGTCTCTCAGCCATTGCGGTGTCTGTACAGGTGAAACCGCCGCTGCAGCCCAACAGAAAGAAAGCCCCAGGGGCTAACCACTGGCAGCTGCTGCTGCTGCTGCAGTTGCTGCTGCTGCAGTTGCTGCTGCTGCAGTTGCTGCTGCTGCAGTTGCTGCTGGTGCAGTGACTGCTGCTGCTTCAAGGAAGGAAGAAGCGGCACACCGACCGGTGTGACTGTCGCTGCGTCCCTGCGGCTGCGGCATTTGTTGCTGCCGCTGCTGCTGCTGCTGCTGCTGCTGCTGCTGCTGTTGTTCTGCAGCAGCAGCTGCTGCCGAGGCTTACGCGTCGCTCCTGGCTTCGTCCGAGCAGTCGCTGCTCTTGGCGTCGTCCGCGGTCTCCGCAGCAGCAGCTTCCTCAGCAGCAGCAGCAGCAGCAGCAGCAGCAGCAGCAGCAGGGTCTGCTGCAGCGTCGTGCAGCTTCTGCTGCTCGCGCAGCGCTGCTGCTGCGCGCTCGCGGCGCGCTGCAGCAAGCGCCAGCAGCCGCTCCGCGTCTTGCTGCTGCTCGCAACTCACCCAGGCCCACCCACTCCCGTACTCAGTTCCAGGAACAAACAAATGAATGCGAACATCTCCGTGCTGCTTCAGACTGGCCTTCAGTTGCGCCTGCGAGTGTACGTACACCGCAACACACACGGGGTGTACGTACAACGCAGCGAACGCGGGGTGTACGTACACCGCAGCGAACGCGGGGTGTACGTACACCGCAGCGAACGCGGGGTGTACGTACACCGCAGCACGCGGGCCTGCGCTAGCAGCTGCAGCAGCTGCAGCAGCTGCAGCAGCTGCAGCAGCTGCAGCAGCTGCAGCAGCTGCAGCAGCTGCTGCTCCCCAGTGCATGCGTTCTGCCGAGTTTTTCACTTTTGTTATTTATTTCTGCACTTCATTTGTTTGCACTTTCCACTTTTCTGGCTACAGCTGACAGCAAAAGAAATGCTGCACTCAACCCCGAGACCCTGCTGCTGCACTTGGGGTGTACGTACACCTCGAACTGCCCCACAGCCCAACTTTAAGTCCAACAAGCAGCAGCAAAAAGCAGCAACAGCCCCGAGTGCAGACCAAACAAGCAGCAACAGCGAGCAGCAGCAGCAGCTGCTGCTGCTGCTGCAGTGCCAATACCTGCACCACCAGCAGCAGCAGCTGCAGCAGCAGCAGCAGCAGCAGCAGCAGCAGCAGCGAGAGCCTACCTCAGTCACGCCCACGGGGATGTTTTTGATAGTCACCCGAGACGCCGTGTCGGTGCGCGTCTGGGGGATGACAGGCCTCATAGTGTAGAAGGAGTTGGCGGCCATTTTGCTGTTGAAGTTGGAAGCAGCAGCAGCAGCAGCAGCAGCAGCAGCAGCAGCAGCAGCAGCAGAGGGCCAGCTAGGCGGTGAAGGGCCACAGAAACCCAAGGGCTGGAGAACGGCCGCGAGGGCTGACGAGGGGAAGGGGAAATGAAAACAAAGAAAGTCGAGGAAGAATGCAAAAAGAAAACCTTTTTAAAACTCTGAGAAAAGTGAAAAGGCCAAACTGCTGCTGCTGCTGCTGCTGCTGCTGCTGCTGCTGCGGCGCTGGGCTTCGCCGAGTTGACCAGCAGCAGGCGCAGCTGGCTCCAGCCAGCCTCTCCTCCTGCGTCCAGTTTCTCGAATAAAAGGCTCTTTTGAATCATTTTTAAAGCTTTTTGCATCATTTTGCATTTATAATAAAGTATTTTTAATTAATTTGCATTTATAAACGGCCTTCTGCGCCTCCTGGGCTTCATTTCGAGCCGCTTCGCCCCAAGTTGAACAGCAGCTGCCGACGGCTTCCTGCGGCTGTCCGCTGCGAGCTGCTGCGCTGCTTTCCGCGTTGAATAAAGGCCATTTATTGTCTTTTATTTCATTTAATTTGATAATTTATTTGCATTTAATCGAAAATAATAAAGAGGCCTCGGGAAAGCTCCGAGAGGCCCCACTCCCAGCTCGCCACGTGTGCGGCGGCCGTCTCGGATCGCCGCAGCTGAATCGACGCAGCGAAGAGCGCTTGACAGCAAACTTCAAAGCACCAAATAAAAATTAGAAAAAGAAAAGATAAAAGTGATATTTTTGCAACAATTCAGAAATGATTGATCCCCGCATCGCGGGAATCCTCTCGATTCAGATTCAGGAAAAGCCGAGCGGCTGCAGTGGTCAGCACTTAGTTGTGCAGGTTGAATTGCGGCGCAAAGAGCTATTCTGCTGCGCAATAAAAGGAATAGTTCTGAGATCACTTCGGAAATAAAGTTTCCGTTTGAATTTTGAATTTGTTTCGAGTTCGTGAGCTGTCCGTACACCTGAGGGGCGCAGAGGATCAGGCGGCTGCGGCCGATTTGCAAGGCAGTTGGCGATGCGCCGGTTTTTGGCAATTTTGAGGCGCTTGAAAACGTTTAAATGCTTTTTATGATGAATTTACGTAAATGAGGAGGTTTTTTGTTTCTTATTTGGTGGGATCTTTGGTAATTTTCGCGCTCGTTTGCTGGCCGGGCTGCACCCCTGCAGCAGCAGCTGAAGACCAGGCGCAAGTTTGCAAACAGGGCCACCGAGGCATTTTATTTCACATTCGAAACAAAAATGATCTTTCAAAAGGATGCAAAGTGACTGCAGTTTTGAAAAGAAACTGTTTGAAGCTCCTGAGGTGAGAAGTTGAATTCTTGAACGCAGCCACGAACCTGAACTGAATCTGAATGGAGTTGCAACGCAGAGGCAACAAAGAGTACAAAACCATCGCCTTGGGTTTGTTTTTCTTTTAATTTTATTTTAATTTTATTTTATTTTCCAATTTATTTCATTTCTTCTTTTTAAATTCCACAGAGGCCATCGAGACTCCCCTGCATTTGCTCCCCAACGACGAAACTTGCATTTCTATAAAGCACGCGCGGGAAGAGCCCGACATACTCTGGTGGCCAACACTTCTAATAATAATAATAATAACAATAATGATAATAATAATAATAATAATAATAATAATAATAATAATAATAATAATAATAATAATAATAATAATAATAATTATAAATATATTTAGAATAAAAAGTTATGAATTATAAGTTTAATTCGTTTTAATTCTTTCACTCTTCTTTTTTTCAGCTGCGAAAACAGAAGCTGCAGGGACCAGTGGGTAAGATCTTTCACTTTATATTTTTAATTTTTTTCATTTTTAATTCTTTTTTTTCGGATTTTTTTCTTTTTGCTTTTAATTTCTTTTCCTTTTCCTTTTAATTCCATTTCTTTTCCCTTTTACTCCATTTCTTTTCCTTTTTATTCCTTTTTCTCCTTCAATTCCTTTTTTTCATTTCCAACTTTGCACTTTAGTGGAAAACCATCACCAAACAAATCCTCTGTCTCCACCAAGGGCCCATGCGGAACGAAGTGGCTGGGGAGCCCCCTTTGGAAATAGAGCAGCGCGAAGTGTGTGGAATTTAATTTAATTTAATTTAATTTAATTTAATTTAATTTAATTTAATTTAATTTAATTTAATTTAATTTAAATGTTTTTATTCATTTTTGAACTTCCAAAATCCAACAACAGGTCCTGGAGAAGGTCGTGGAAAAACCCGAAAAGGGAGGCATCACAATTCACATCGACAAGGTCCGCTTGCCCTCAAACCCTAAACCCTAAACCCTAAACCCTAAACCCTAAACCCTAATTTTGAACGCCGAAATCTCTCAGGGCCAAATGCCAGCGGAACCCATGCTGTCGATACACCCGAAGTTCCGCGGGGTCCTCCGAAAGCGGCAACATCAGATTTCTCCATTTTAGTTTTTTTATGAATTCAAAAGTATTTTTAAATATGAATTCATAACTTTTTATGAATTCAAAAGTGTTTTAAAAAACTCAAAAAGATCAACCCAATAAAAGCCTGAATCAGAACTTTCTGTTCGCTTCTACTTACTGCTTCAACGAGCTCCCCTGCAGTCGCCCAGAACCTAAACCCTAAACCCTAAACCCTAAACCCTAAACTCTAAACCCTAAACCCTAGGCGCCTCGAATACCTTGGTGGAATCAGTGGGACTTGTATCTTTCGGTGTGGGAGGACTTGGGGGCTGCGTGGGGCCTGGGGGGAAAGAATTGAGAGCCAAGAAGTGGAAAAAGATTTTCAAATTTAATTACAAATTCTGCATCTTTTGAGTCTTCTTGGCGGTGAGCACAGAGGAACATTTGGCCCCTGAAGGGGGCCTTGGGGGCGGGCAGCAGCAGCAGCGGCGGCGCGGTGCTGCTGCTGCTGCTGCTGCATGCAGCGGTTCTGGGCCGCCGCTGCTGCTGCTGCTGCTGCTGCAGCAGCAGCTGCAGCGCGGGCAGGTGCCGCAGCCCCGCCTCCAAAGAGCCCTCCCCTGCATGCAGCAGGTCCAGCGAGCCGCTGTCTGCTGCTGCATGCAGCAGCTGCTGCAGCAGCAGCTTCCCAGCCTCTTCTTGCAGCAAATCTTTTACGAAGCCCTCAGTGTCATTTTCTATCTTCGAGTGCAGCAGCAGCCGCCACAGAGAAGGTGACCTTCTGGCTGCGCGGGCGGGGCCAGCAGCCGAGTTGCTGAGCTCTTCTGCCATTTCAAAAGAAAGAATTAAAAATTAAATTAAATTAAATTAAATTAAAAAGAAGTTTATTTCACTTTTTGGCGGAGTTCAAGGGAGAGCTGCAGCGGCGGCCGATCGATCGAGAACGGAGGACCGGCAGGCACTGGAAAAAAGAGATGCGATCCGGAATAAAGTTTTCAGATTGAAAATAAAAAATAAAAATAAATAAAATAAAAATAAAAATAAAAATAAAGTTGAATTTTTCTGCATTTCGACGTCGGTTGGGATGTACAGACACCTCAAGAATCGAAACCGGCGCGAGCACCGCCGCCGCATGCAGCCACATTTTTGTATATTTGAAACAGCCTTAATTAAATGCAACGAGGCTCTAAATACTTCAAAATAAATCGAAATGTTATTTTTATAAACTTTTTGAACAGTTTATTCCGCAGAGAGTTCCCCATTTATTAGATCCGGGGGCCCCGCCGTTCCAGTGGTGTCGAGACACCTGAGCCTCGCGGCGGCAGCACTTGGTGTCATTTCCTCGCGTCATTTTTTCTATTTCGAAGTTTATTTGTAATCCAAATGCCTATTTAAGTGCTAATTTTACTTCCTAGAGAGTTACTAGTGTGTGCAGTCGAAGCAAATGGGCAAACCCTTGCTGCAGCTCCCCCAGTATCCTGCAGATCGTCTCAGGTGTACGTACACCTGAAATGAATGCAGAACTAACGAGCTGTAAACACCTCTTGCCATTTCCATTCATTTTTAAAAGTAGTTTCTCCCTCAGTTATATAATGAAGACAATGGGGTGAAAAATCCCAAAAGAAAACGGCAAAACCCGCATCTACACCTATGCCTTCTAACCCTAAACCCTTAACCCTAAACCCTAAACCCTAAACCCTAAGCCGTAAAACCCTAAGCCGTAAAACCCTAGAGACTACAGGGATTCGCCTTAAATCGGCTTCAGATTAAAGCGCAGCAGGGAGCTGCACGGCAAGCCCGAACCCTAAACCCTAAACCCTAAACCCTTAAGCCTAAACCCTACGACTGTTCCCTCTTTCCTTCACAGATATCAAATGCATTTAAAAAGGACCTTTTCCGCAGGCCTTGCGTCAGCCCTTGTTGTGTCTTTCAAACTAAAAAATGAATAAAAAATGGGCCCCAGAGCAGAGGCCCACAACACTGCATCTAAACCCTAAACCCTAAACCCTAAACCCTAGCACCAAGCCTCCTGGATCTGGACTAAGCAGGACTGCAGCGTTTCAAATCCCATTTCCACTGCGACCTCCTGCGTGGTTTGCACGAAGTCCCTGAGCCAGAGGCAAATAACCCTAAACCCTAAACCCTAAACCCTAAACCCTAAACCCTAAACCCTAACCAGCAGCAATGATTAGAATTAGGGCTTAGGGTTTGCAGCAGCAGTGGACTCAGCTCACTCCCAAATCTTTGGATCCAGACGGGCCCTAAAGGGTTTTCCGCATCTGCAGAAGAGCAAGGCAGTCCCAAACCCTGAAACCCTAAACCCTAGTCTAAACCCCAAACCCTAATCCTAAACCCCAAACCCTAATTGCAAACCCCA